GCACTGATAATAACGGATTGAAGGTTCCTTCTATTTAAAATGAAAAAGAAGGTATTTCAATATATACAGGAATAATGGATATCTGATTATAATTTAAACTTTTCATATAGACATAACTGCAGTACAATAGATTCCCTTTTGTAAGTATTCTGGTAACTCTTTTTCTTACATGCTTGTAGTGCAGGAATGGTATTGCCTACTGATTCCTACAGATTTGTCAGTGGGTCATTTCTACCTCTAGCAGAGCTGTTGAATCCCAAATTCACAACACATAGGGAGGAGCACACTTGTTCATACTACATGAGGCATTCTCTGGTATCTGACATCAGTGGATCACACAGAACTTCGATTAAAACAAGTCTTTCACTAACAATGTCTATAAAAAGACTTCCCTGCAAAGAAGACAGTAAATGCTTACCTCTCCTGTTTCTTGCACTTATGAATACCACTATAAAAAAGAGAAATCATTGTTTTTTAAAGTCTCTTCAGAAACCAACATTTCTTGGAGTGTTGAATTATTGGTCTACCTTCTGCACTCAGTGGTTCCCCCACTGATCCTCACATCACTAGTTTGTCTTGTAGCAATATAGGAGTGTCAGGAAATACCAATGATAACAGCAGGGAACCAAAAGATCCTAGAAGTTTCATTATTTGAAGATATTTTGCTTGGCGATGTCTCTTCATTACAGCAGCATTCAATGGTGCAGGCAGTGGGAAAGGTATTCTAAACAAACTGAAACCTCACTAACAGATCAAATAGCAGCTGGCAAAAACAATTAGATAGATTGTGTACAAAAATATACATTTATGTTGCCGCACTTCTTGTGACAAGTAGGAATCATCAAAACAAATATTGTATATCTATCTATCTATCTATCTATCTATAGATATATATATATATCTATATATATATATATAAATCTCAAGTAAAAAGAAAAGATGCAAATAAAGACCCAAATAAGTCCTAATCTGTAAAAGGTGTAATAAACAAGAAAATCCTTCATGTCCAAAAACTTCCAAAACCAAAGTGTACCACCACCTGAGATATAGAGGACTCTTACCAGAACAAATGGACCCTATTTATAAAAAGTGTCACATGAGCTTGTGAATTAATACAGCATTTGTAGTGGACTTGATGCCACCTCCAAAACTCTGCATATAATCACCAAGTGGCGGAGGTATTTGCTGTCTTCTTTGCAAGGACATCTTTTATTGGCACTTTGATTTTAGCAATACAGTTTATTTAAGATACATTAGGCTCAATTCACAAAGCTAACACAACAAAATTAGAATGCTTTTTTTTTTGCCGCTTCCCATCCTCCCTATAGCAGAAGTACTGCTACAGGGCGGCACGGATGCGCAAAATCACGTGTATATATGTGACTTTGCAGTTCTGGGTAGGGGGCGCATGTGAGCCACATACGCCTTACCCATGCTGTCATTTGTGGCCTCAACTGTCAATCACCGGGTCCCAGCCGGTGATTTCTTGAACAGTCCCGCTATAAGTCACTGATCATCATTGTTACTAGTAGAAAAAAAAAATTAAGAAGAATTCCAGTATATATACCACCATTTGTAAACGCTATAACTTTCATGTAAACCAATTAATTTACACATATTGGGATTTTTTTTAAGCAAAGACATGTAGCAGAATACATTTTGGCCTAAATTTATGATGAAATTTCATTTTTTCATTTTTTTACTGGGCATGTTTAAAAGCAAAAAGTCAGAAATATTGTTTTTTTTCTCAAAAATATTGTTTTTTATAGCAAATAAAATAAAAAATGCACAGGCGATCAAATACCACCAAAATAAAGCTCTATTTGTGGGGAAAAAAAGGACGTAATTGAATTTGGGCGGAGTGTTGCATGACCACGCAATTGTCAGTTAAAGTAACGCAGCACCGTAACACAAAAAATGGCCTGGTCAGGAAGGGGGGTAAATCCTCTGGAGGGCAAGTGGTTAAAGTAACAGATATTTTCAGCTGAGTCCACTGACATTTGAAATAACACCTACATGGCTAAAATAGAGAATTTTATGTTTGTGTTTAAGGTTTGTGAATGCAGCCTATGGAAACTTCTGTATTTAACACAGATGTACTTATTGTATTTCTGGCTATCATTAGCAATTCATGGACTGAATTGAGTTACATGAAATTTCTTTATAAGATGACAGGGGAGAGCTATATTCTAATACACACACAAGTCTTCTTGAACTTTTAGTATACAGCTTAATATACTCAGGCCTAGTTCACACCTGTGCAGGTGGTTGCGGGTGTGGGAATCGCAGTGGTTCCCACATCCACAACCATCCGCAGCCAAATTGCAATGCTCTGCAGAGATGCGTGGGGCTTCATTCTTAACCACATGCCACCCAGCCACTGTAGAAATATGTTGGCAGGACGGCACAGCTGGGCAAAACCACGTTTTAAAACGTATGTTTTCAAAACAGGTAGGGGGTGCGCGTGAGGTGCGCCACTGCCTTACCTGTCCCGCTGATCACGGCCGCGGATGTCAGTCACTGGGTCACAGCCGTTCGTTTCCAGCTGTGTCCCGGCGATTAGTTGCAATCACTGACAGAGAGCAGGGCTGCAGTAGCTCTGCTCTCTGTCAGTTCCCTGACAGCTCCTGACAGGCTGATCGGGAGATCCCGATCAGTATTTCCTTCTGCAGTACACACCCCCACCCCCTAATAAAACACTCCCCTCACACAGTTAACCCTTTCACTGCATAATAAAGTTACCCCTTTCCTCCCCAGTGCCATTAGTACAGTGTCAGTGTTTTTTTTTGCACTGATCGCTGTATTGGTGTCACTGGGGATGTCAGTGACCCCAAGTCAGTTCCCCCCCAGTGTCAGAATGTCCGCCGTAGTCTCACAGTCCTGCCATAAGTTGCTGATAGCTACCATAAGTCACTGATCGCCGCCATAAGTCGCTGTTTGCCGCCATTATTAGTATAAAAAAAAATTTAAAATCCCAGTATCTTCCCCGCCATTTGTTAATGCTATAATTTCACGTAAACCAATTAATTTACACGTATTGTTTTTTTTTTTTTAGCAAAGACATGTCGCAGAATGCATTTTGGCTGAAATTTATGACTAAATTTGATTTTTAATTTTTTTTTTCCTGGACATGTTTTATAGCAAAAAGTCCAAAATATTGTTTTTTTTTTCCTAAAAATTGTCAGCCTTTTTTTTTTTATAGCGCAAAAAATAAAAACCGCACAGGCGATCAAATACCACCGAAAGAAAGCCCAATTTGTGGGAAAAAAAGGATGTAAATTTTATTAATGTACCGTATTGCATGACCTTGCAATTGTCCTTTAAACTAGCATAGCGCTGTATAGCAAAAAAAGGTGTAAATTGCAGTATCATAGTTTATACCATAGTTTGTAGACGTTATAACTTTCACACAAAGCAATCAATATACGCTTATTGGGATTTTATTTACCAAAAACATGTAGCAGAATACATTTTGGCCTAAATTTATAACTAACTTTGAGTTTACTATATATTTTTTATAGCTGAAAGTAAAAAATATTGTTTTCTTCAAAGTTTTTGGTCTTTGTTTATAGCGTGAAAAATAAAAAGCGCATAGGTGATCAAATACCATTGAAAGGGTGCAGCATTGCATGACAGCGCAATTATCAGTTGAATGAGTGCAGCGCCGAGTAGCAAAAAGAGGCCTGGTCATTAAGGGGGTAAATCCTCAGGAGGGCAAGTGGTTAATGGCATCCTTACACATTTCAAACCCACAGCGGGCATGTCTTGAAAAAAGTGCATGCACCTTTTTTTTTGCAGGAAATGCAGGCACAGCAGCTCTTTCCAATGAATGGGCCGCTGTGCCCATGGAAACACAAGCCTCAAATCTGCACAGGTGTTAACCAGGCCTCAAAGTGCATCAAAACAAAAGATGTGTAAATTCTTGAAGTTTGTTTTCTTTAGAGAGCAGCTATAACATAAGTAGAAAAGCCTGTCCCCTACTAGCATGCTGTAGTGTATGGATCCTAGCTCACTATGTGGAAGTTGGGGTCCCTCTGCAGAAAGCAAACATTCACCTGCTGAGTTAGGCCTATAGCTCAATCTATAGCAAATGTCATGCTCCCTACTTATTGGAGAGTTTTATGTATGGCTCAGCAGGTGTTCTGTTGAGCCTATGCAGAAATACCACTACTTTCACATGGAGAGGAAGGGCCACTTGATGAAGGGCTTTAGAGCCCATTAACTATAGGTATACAAAAGTGTACATAGGCTGGTATCAGCATTCTATAATGTCTTCATTATTAGCCTAGAAAACTGGAAGTAATTCTCACCCTCATCATTAAAACAGAACTGTTATTATTTGCTAATCTCTAATTATCCAGTGTGCATTGTTTTCTGAGGTTTTATTGATTTTTCATTTTTGTTTAGTAACTTGATAAAAGTAATTGCATGCATATTTGTGTTTTTTGGGGGGGAAATATTGATTCTAATAATAGAATAGTTCAATTTAAGATCAATTCTGCAAGATAAATAAATATTTGTGATAAATAGTGCCACAAGATTGAGATAAATCATTAACCCTTTAACTGCCAATGACATATGTTGTTTATCAGTGGCAGTGAGGGGTTTTCCACACACTCCTGAATGCTACAGCAGCTAGAAGTGTGTTTAACCAGTTGCTAACCATGCTATAGACAAATGATGGCTACAGCGTGAATGTCCAGTTCTGGGAAGCTGTCATATGACGTCCTTCCAGAACGTGCTCTTCTGCACGCCCCCAGAGGAGCGTACCCCGCAATTTATGTGATCACGTGATGAGGTAAAAGGCCAATCACAGCAGCCTTTTACCATGTGATCAGCTGTGTCCAATGACACAGCAGATCATGGAGTAAATACAGTTGCTGGTTATTGGCTGCACTTTCTTCACACTGTCACAGCGAGAGGAAAGTACTGCCAATAACCAGCAGCTTCACAGTGCAGCTTGGCACTGATCATCAGTGCCCTATTGATCAGTGCCCAGCAGTGCCTAGTAGTACCACCCACCAGTGCCCAGCAATGCCACCCATCAGTGCTGCCCAGCAGTTGCACCCAGCAGTGCCATCAGTCAGTGCCACCAGTCAAGGCTGTCAGTCAGTGTCGTCAGTCAGTGTCGTCAGTCTGTGCCACCAGTCAGTGCCGTCAGTCAGCGCCATCCATCAGTGTCACCCATCAGTGCCGCCTATCAGTGCCCATCAGTGCCGCCTATCAGTGCCCATCATTGCTGCATATCAGTGCAGCATCATCAGTGCCTCCTCATCAATGCCCACCACTGCTGCCTCACCAGTGCAGCCTATAAGTTCCCATCAGTGTTGCCTATCCGTGCCACCTCATTAGTGCCCAACAGTGCTGCCTATCAGTGCAGCCTCATCAGGAGAAAAAGTACCTGTTTGCAAAATGTTATAATAGAAACAAAGAAAAACTTTTTTTTTACAAATTGTTTGATTTTTTTTGTTTATAGTGCAAAAAATAAAAACCCCAGTTAAATACCACCAAAATAAAGCTCTATTTGTTTTTTAAAAAAGGATAAAAATTTCATATGGGTACAATGTTGCATGGCTTCACAATTGTTATTCAAAGTTTGACAGTGCTGAAAGCTAAAAATTGGAGTGGGCACAAAGGGGGTAAAAGTGCCCTGTAGGCAAGTAGTTAAACACCACAAGGCATCTGTTGGCTTTCTGATTAAAGCAATTGGACAGCTGTATAGTCACCTGATCACTCTCTGTGACCACCAGAATTGTGTTCCTGCCATGCTTTCCAGGCTGTGGGCATTGGAGTCACATGGCAAGTGATGTATGATGGACAGGAGGAAGATCTCAGTGGTCTAAAAATAACCTTGATGTCTCATCAAAGAAACCCTATCACAAAAGTAAAAAAATACATTTATAACCATTCACTTAAAAACACTCCCACAAAATGTTGAGTCCATCTTGCCTCCATGTGTACATATACTGTACATGAACATAAACACACCTGTTGTACGAAAATGTTGCTTGAACTACACATATAATATGTTGCTGGTCAGAGCAATATTTTCAGGATCAATATTCACAGTTAACTCTAAAGTGATGGCCTGTAGGGGCTTTTAAAGCATTGTCTATGGAAAATATAGGGTACAGATGTTCTTTGTCATTTTGTGGGTGTGTACAATTTTAAAGCTTGACATGCTGGATACTTGTTTACTTGGCACAACTTAAATTTTTATGTTTTACCAAAAATGTGTAATTTATTGCATTTGTTTGACCTAAAATGAACTTAAATGTAATTTTACTGAAAAGTTGATAAACCCTTGCACAAACATTGTATGACAGAAAAAAATGGACCTATCACTACTTTATTTTTCAGGGTGTCTGCTTTCAGAAAATGTATCATTTGGGGGGATTTTAACTAACATTTAAGCCTAAACTGATTTTCAAACATGTGCATAAACAAGCAAAAATTGCTCTGGCAGCAAAAAGGGTTAAAGTCAATACAATCAATATTTTAGGAATGTACAAAATAACAATGAGGAGACCTCATTGGCCAGTAAGGTAAAATAATACAATGTATGATTGTGGAATGTAAATAATTTGTGACATTAAGACCCCGGTCACACTGGATACAAAATACATGCGATTTGCATGTAATGCGACTTGCAATTCACATGCCAAATCTCAGCCTATTGTCCTCAATTAGAACGGTCATATCGGTGCAGTTCCGACTTGGTCAGAGCCACACTGATTTCTAAAGTAGTACATGCACTACTTTTGGTGCGATTTGCATTGACATCTGTATCAGATGTCTTACAAATTGCACCTGACATCTGACTTTAAAATTGTGCAACTAACAGTGAAGTCGCACGATTTCAAAGTAGGGTATGATGTGACCGGGGTGTAAACTAGAGGGAGATCATTCTGTGAATGTAGTCACTTAAGAATGTTTTCATAGTTTCACTCTATATCATTTAAGTGCCAAATAACTTAAAACATAAATAATTAAAGCATTTGTTAAATAATGCATGTTTTTATTAAATTAGCTACTTTGAAATAAATACCGTATGCATTATATTAAGTTAAAAAGATGACATTATCCCTTAGTGAATTGACCTCTGTGTGTTTTTATTGCATTGTTTTGGTGTCGATTTGCTGAAAAAAAAAAAAATGCAGGTCTTACTTTATTTAATACATTGCCAGTGGTTGGAATCAAAAGCAGTATTATTTACAGTGGTTGTAAATACCCATGAATTCAAATAAGATAAATCCTTTGTAAAACAATAACATAGAAATATCAAATAAACAATAAAAACTATATACTGATACTTAAAGTGATCATTTGCAAGATGGGCAAGTCAGAAACACCCTGTCAATATATGTGCAATTAACATACGTCTATGCTGACATTTTGTCATTATATTGACATACAGTGTAACTACACCATTTGTCATATAAAATGCAGTTTTCAGGCAATGAAAGCAAGATCTTTGGGAAAAAGTCACTTTTTGTTGCATGGTTATGTGTTTGGTCTTCAGTATTGAATGTGACTGCATTTTTATTTTTTTATTTTTATGTTTTTCATGCAGCTGCATATGTGCTATTGCTTGAAATATATGACATGAAATTCCCAATTTTCAAGCACATAGCCATCTGTCAATTTCAGACGTCTGTTTTCTTTACACAACACAGAAGCATTATATAGCTAGGACAAGGCAGGGCTGTTTATCAAAGCACATTTCTGCTCAAGAAGCACCTTAAAAATCCTTGCACATACTTCAGCCCCCAACCTTCTATATAATTTTGGACAAGACATATACATACATTTCATGGTGATGCTGCCATGTAGTGAAGCTAATTGCTTTCTTTATGCTTTTCTCAATTCAATTGTGTATAGAGGGCAGACATAGTTTTAAAGCTTTAGAGAGCTTTTCAGTGATGGAAGCTATAGTACAGCTTCCATGAATGGAAGAGTGGGAACGGGTGAGCACAGTCCGTCCCACAAGTGTCTATGACATGTCCAGTGGCTGAATTAACCCCCAAAGCACTAGAAGTGTAGCACTATATGATACGATATGAGGTTGCAAAGGACTATGGATTTCAATAAAGCTCAGAGCCACTAGCACAAGGGACACTTCTCACTGAAAATAGGTACCATGCCTTTTGCTGAATAAAATAAATAAATAAACTTGAGCTTTAAACTATTAGGCTATTTTAAAGAAAATCTAAAGTTTAATTATACATAGATTTCAGCAATATGTTAAGATACCAAATGTTGGTATCCTGTGAAACAGACACAACCAGATATGTATAGCTCTGCACAGAGAATTCCAGCTGAATGAAAGTAAATGTGGTTTATTAGAGAAACAAAACAAAGTATAAATACAATATAAATACAAACACCAAATATTACAAAAGCCATTGAACCTAATTAGAATGAACCTAATAAGTGCATGTGAGAACAACTAAGAAAACCTACCTACACTAACTAAACTAAACAAGACTATGTACAGATGGCAGGATAAACATAGCAGAGCATGATCAGGATGAGCAGCAAGGAATAAGCGAAAATGGGGAGAAGGCTCACAGGTACATGCAGGCAAAAACAGGATCAGGAATTGAGTCACAGGGAGCTAAATAGCCTCCCAGCAGCCAGCATCATTTGATGACTGATTGCTGGGATCTGCAGGCTGCTGGTAGACACCCAGTGGTGGACATCGGGACTATAAGCTTCAGGTCCAGAAACCACAGTGTCACCAGCAGGTGATCCAGCTCCTGATACTATATTTTACTTGGTGAATGAAATGAGATCTGTATTTTAAATAGTTTTATTATTATTTATTTTTTAGCAACCACGTTTCCACTAATTGTCCATGATAACCATAAGTCCTTGACAGCTTGTATAATTAGCTACATGAGTCCCCAGTACCATTTCAAAATTCATTGTAATTTGGATATTTGACCTAGTGCTGTTTTAAAAACTGCATCCAGTCTCAACAGCTTCTGCAAGTCCCAGTGGAGGTCCAGACTAGAACTGTCAGCTGTCTGGGGCAGCTGGTATCCATCACTAAGCTCAGGGGTTGAAATGATCAGATTGTGGCATTCCAATACATTTCCAAATCAATCAATATGAGTGTGATTTAATAGCAAAAGTAAGCAGAATGCAGAAGCATTGGCAGCAAGAGATGAGGAATGATGGGAATCAAGCTACAGGTCAGGGGTGGACTGACAACTCATGGGGCCCCCAGGCAATAGGGGATCATGGGGCCCCTGTGTCCTTGCCCAAACTCAAAAAAGCCTAAGAAAAAGGCACCAAGGGCATTTCATGGGGCCCCCTACTGACCCCGGTCCCTCGGGCAGTGCCCGAGATTCCAAATAGTCAGTCTGTCCCTGCTACAGGTTTCAATGTGTTGGCAACCAGCAGTTTTTTCTCATTTTTTTGGAGAATCAGTAGGCATTGAGCATTGTGACTGACATGGATCTGCATTGCTGGATGACTCCATTGTGGGACATATTTTTTGAAAGACTTGACAAAAATTGAGTGCTTATTTACTATTGACTTTTTCCTGTGAATGAGTAGAGGTACTATGTACATTTTACTCACTCCAGTAGGGGTGATATTTAGAGATTCCCTAATTTTTAAAGGGGACCTCAAGATTCTCCTGTCTTTTGAGTGGGGTTGCCCCTTAAAATCCACACCAAACTAGATGGGTCCAGTATGGAGCTCAGGGCTTCTTCATACTGTTTTTGTAATGAACATTACATGTACAGTTGCAAGAAAAAGTATGTGAACCCCTTGGGATTACGTGGAGTTTTGCATGAATTTGGCATAAAATGTGCTCTGAACGTCATCTAAGTCAAAACAATAGAAGAACACAGTCTGCTGAACATAATACTACACAAACATTAGATGTTGCCATGGTTTAATTGCACATAAGATGAAAACATTAACAGTGCAGGGAGGAAAAAGTATGTGAACCTTTGGACTTAATAACTGGTTGACCCTCCTTTGGCAGCAATATCCTTAACCAAACGTTTCCTGTAGTTGCAGATCAGACCTGCACAACGATCTGGAGTAATTTTGGACCACTCCTTTTCACAAAACTGTTTCAGTGTAGCAATATTCTTGGGATGTCTGGTGTGAATCGCTCTCTTAAGGTCATGCCACAGCATTTCAATCGGGTTGAGGTCAGGACTCAGACTGGGCCACTCCAGAAGGCGTATTTTGTGCTGTTGCAGCCATTGTTTTGTTGAATTACTTGTATGCTTTGGGTCATTGTCCTGTTGCATCACCCATCCTCTGCGGAGCTTCAGTTGGCGGACAGATGGTCGTACGTTTTCCTTCAAAATGTCTTGATAAACTC